AAAACCACACTTGGCAACTAAGACATTTTTATAATTATATTGTAGAGAAAAATATGTGGACACGCTTTTTCACTTCGGTTTCCATCATACCTTTTCATATCACTAACTTAAGTTGTTTTCTGATAATGTAGACTTTAACCTAGTACTGTGTTTAATAGCTAGTCAGCAGGTTCTGTTCTCATTACAATTCTGTTCTCATTCACTTCAGTGTCCACAGTGTCTACCATGGTCCCAGGTACAGAGTAGTGAAGCAAAAATCACTTATCCGAGACATGTCTTTAAAGTCGTAACTACACAGAAGACAGATTTATATAAATTAATTGACTTAATATGGCTTGAGTCAGAAATGGCCTTAAATATGAAGTAAAATTCTAAATCATACAGTTTACTTCTATGGAAAATATGTCTTTTATGATGTAAATCTTATGCATTGAAGTATAGAAGCTTGTGGTCCATGTGTAAGGGGATTTATTCATTATGGTGAAGGACTTGGCTACATATTCTGTATTATTTTATTTAATCATTTTCTGATGAACTTATCAATTTATCTAGCAGGAGTTTCCTCTTCTAGGTCTAATCTTTGTTCTTTCTTGTCATCCTCACCTCTTTATCATTTCATTCAAGGCATGCTCATCCTCTTTTTCACATTAAAATCAGTTGCATGTAAATATAGTATTCACAGAGAAAAGCACCTTACAAATAGTCAGATCACTGCATTTTCACAAACTGAATACATCTATATAATCAGTACCCTCGAAACTTCCTCACCTGTGCAAACTTCTAGATACCTTTTCCCAGAGAAACCACTATCCTGACTCAGACACCATTGATTAATGTAGACTGCTTTTATCCTTTTTTTACAAATCATATATATTATTTTAGAAACTCTGGTGCTGTAGTACCTAAGACATTTGACTGCTAACCAGAAGGCTGGCGGTTCAAACCCGCCAACCACTCCTTGGAATGAAGATTGGGCAATCTAGTTCTGTAGTGATACTGCCTTGAAAACCCAAGGAGGGGTCGCTATGAATCAGATCCCACTTGATCGATGAGTTTATCCATATTGTTGGATTTGGAGGTGATGTAGATAATCCATTCTAACTGGTGTACAGTATTCCATTGCATGAATACAACTTAGTTTATGCAATCTATTTACTGTTGATGGGAATTTAGATAGTTTCTCTTTGGGGCCATTACTAGTCAGTCATGTTGCAGTGAAAATCCTGGTATATGTCTTTGGAAAATGTTTGTGTTTGATGGGAGAGAGAGAAGCTGGCTCTTACAGGCAAAATATAGAGAAACACTGTAGAGAACGGAGATTCTAGCTGATGAGGAAGAGAAACCCTTGACATTAAATGTGTGAGTGAGCCAAGCACTGGAGGTGAGAGAATGGGATGCGTTGAATGTAAAAACCCCACCCAGAACTAGATGAAAATGTTATATTGTTCTTAGTGAGTGGGCTTTTCATCTTTTGCCTTCCTCTGTCTTCTGAACCTTACTGCTTATCAAATCGTCCCTCCTTCCAAACCTTTAGGCCATGTTCTTCAAACTTTTTTTTTCCCCTGAAATACCTCCCTGAGACTTTTTTTTTTTTTTTTTTTCCTAATCAGCCTCCTCCCATCCATAGAATATTTATGCTCTAGATGTATTGTGTTCTGTTTACATACTGTTTTTCTGTGCATGGCCAAAAATCGTTGTAATAGTTAAGATTTTTTGTTTGTTTGTTTTTCAAAATCTCTCTCTCAAACATCTATTTTTTGCCTCCACCCTCCATGCCTCTGAGTAATTCTGGCCTTATTCAGTCTTTGGCCTTAGTCTAGTGTTTTTCAAAATTTATTGTGCAAATCAATCTCCTGTGGATGCTGTGAAAATGTAGATTCTAATTCAGTAGGTCTGGG